ATGAGTCAGTAGCCGCTTGTTTCAACATGTGTTCACGGAGCTGACTTCTTTACAGGGAAGGGCCTTGCCTAGAAGCGTTGTATAAACGAAAACGGGATCTATATTCAGAATGCGGACTCAAGGTGGCATATTTGAGCTCCATGTTCGAGTTTAAGAAGCCTCTAAATATCAGCTCCAAACAGTTCATATGTTTGCACGAAAATTGTGCAAAAGAGCCAGGTAGTTTCGTGTCCAACGAGGATGGAAAGGCTAGGTTGACTAAATGGTTCAACGATTTAATATAACAGCCCGTGGGTAGTATAAAACCCTGTTACATCTAACGATCGCTGTAAGGGTACTCACCTATTCAGGCAACCTTTTTGTATTTTCTAAAACCCGTTTTCAACTTAGAAAGCGTTGCTCTCGCCGACTTTCCTTTCAATCCCATGTAAAATATGTTCTTTGTTCTGCCACTGCCAGCAAGTGCCTACATCTGGCGCCTTGATGCTCGTTTGCTCTACGGTGTGGCGCACTGCAAGGATGAAAAGTCAACAAAGACCGCTTAAACATAATGACAGCTCAGATAAGCTACTCTTGTAAGAAAATCTTCCTCTCATCCTCTTTCTGGATCTGTTTCTTTCACATTCGCGGTGACAGCACCAAAAATACCCAGACTTCTTTGGTCGATACTCTATTTCTTGCGCAACACTTTCTAAATAGGAGCAAACACAACCTTTGGCGTGCTTTCATCCAAGTATCTGATCGTTACGGCTCCCCTCAAGATGGCTCTCGATCGCCCTGCTACAGTATCTGGCCCCGGCTCAGACAACGACGAAGACAAGCAGAGCGGTGCAAACAACTCGAGCACGATGGCAACTAAAGATGACTTCAAAGTCGATCTTCTCAAGGCTATCAAAGACGTCAAGATCGTGGGCAAGTTTGCATTCGATCAAGAAATTGAGATTCCTGAGGATTTCAGCATCTCTGTTCGAGGTGTTGGTGATATCAAACTTCCACTCAAGAAGGCGCAAGCAGTCAAGATCATCACTCAGGCCCGACAAGCGCCCTTTGGAAAAGGAAGTGATACTATCGTCGACACTTCGGTCCGAAAGACCTGGGAACTCGATCCTGAGCAGTTCACTATTGGCGGAGACGAATGGTCCAATTACCTCAAGGAACTGTGTGAACTCGTCGCTCAAAAGATGGGCATCAAGACGCCTGTCCACGCCGAGCTCTACAAGATGCTTCTCTATGAGAAGGGTGCCATGTTCAAGTCACACACCGAGTACGTTGATATTTCCCGTCCGTATGGCCAGCCGAACTAACGTTGTCGCCAGCACGGAGAAAATCCCCGACATGTTTGGGACCCTTGTCGTCAGTTTGCCATCGAAACATAAGGGTGGGGAGGTCGTTCTGGAGCACTGCGGCGAGGAGGTTGTCTACGAATCTTCCAAGAGCCAGGCTTCTTGTGCTGCTTGGTACTCGGATGTTCACCACGAGGTTCTTCCCGTCACCTCAGGCTATCGCTGGGTCCTTACCTACAACCTCGCCATCGGCCAATCCTCGCCGCGCACATTTGATGCCTTCTCGGTAGTCAAACTGCGGCCCCTCAGTGAATGTGTCAAAGGATGGCTCGCGCAGGAGCAAAAGGATCGCAAAACTCCATATGCATGCCACGTCCTAGATCACGAGTATACGCAAGCCAACATTTCCCAAAAGTCGCTGAAAGGAGCAGACATGACCCGGTTCATGGCTCTCCAACAAGCATTGGAGGGATGCCCGGTTACGATTTATCTTGCACTGCTTGAGAGAGAGGAGATTGGGATGGTGGACTTTGCAGAGCCAGAGATGCAGGCTTTCTATCCCTTGTCTTTAGCCTTGTCCAGGACCATTGACACCTACCCAGACCCATTCAAAGGTTATCACCCTTCATTGTACTCAGTTGATGAGACGGTTTGTCGGCTCAAGACTCTTAGAGACTTGCAAGGTGAGACCGTTACAGATGAACTGGTCGTCACGGAGAATTGCATTCTTGATCCAAGTGCTTTCAAGGGTGTGAAGTCTGAGAAGGCGTATGAATTCAGTGGCAACTCGGTGCGTACTTGGCAAAATCCTAGATGACAGCTTATTGCTAACCCATGCTACTAGGGTACAACAGCAACACATTGGTATCGTCGAGGCGTAAGTACGATGCTTGTTTCAAGTGTACCTGTTACTGATTATCACAAATAGACCATCGTCATTGTCCCTCACGACTCGGTTGCTGGCTTACTTAGCCAGCTCGACGACAGATTTTGTGATTCGTCTCCAGAGATGCAGATCAAGTATATTGTGCACTTGTGCTCTCAGCCAGATGTGCAAGACCACCTGATCAGCACAATGGCCGAACTTGTTGAGAATGTAATGCCCAAGTTGGAAACTAACCCTGGCTTGATGAAGGATAAGGCCGTCTTCTCAAAGGTCGTCAAAATTGCCCTACAGCATAAACGTTACCAAATTGTTGAGGACATTCTGGCCAAATTCTACAAGATGTTACCCTCTGATTTGTTTTTTTGGTTAAGACAATGGGTGATCGAACCCGATGATGATGACAAGACCTTGGACAATTTCAACAAGCTCAAGAAAGGGTATGTTCTACCACATCTATTACTGTTTCTTTACTAACGTACAGGAGACTCTCCCTTGCTATGGCTTCACAGGATGAATTGCCACACAAGCACAAGATCGTATCTCACTTTGTTCCCCTCCCTAGTGTCTTGCCCACTGACGCTCTTCCAACTCCTGGGCCAATTTTGGAGTGGACCCGTCAAACTCTGCAGAATTTGTTGGACGGAGATGGCCCTACTGAAGTGACTGCAGATGACGCGCTACCTGTAGTCAACTTTGCGCTGTACTTCGAGAGCAAGATTGCTTTCCTGAAAGAGTTGTAAGTTAATACATCGGTCCCTCCTCTCTAGACTATTCCCACCATGCTAACGAATTCCCAAGTGTCGTGCCTCTGTTCGAGAAGTTTCCTCTGGCCCCTGGCTTCCGTTTCATGACCTTGGCACGAGTGATGGCTCTGATTGAAGAGGACAAACTTCCTCGGCAAGAGGGCATGGATCTCTATCGAACTATGGCAGGCTCCTTGATCGAATCTCAGGACTTTGCTTCGCTACAACATCCAACAACAATCCATGAGCAGTCAGAAAAGAGGAAGCTCCCGCCTTGGTTGACTTCCAAGATGTGGGCTCAGCGTTGGCTGGGGAATGCAGTCACGGACAATGACATGAGAAACTTCTTCTCGGGACTTTTGAAGGCCAGCACAAAGTCGAGCAATGTTTCAGGCCAATTCATGTCCAAGATCACCAAGCAGCTTGGCAGATTCTCAGAGGCCAGTTTCCAGTTGACGTGGCTTCCTTTTCTACGTTCCACCGTTCCCCTTCTCGAAGATGAAAGCATTTCCTTGAGCACACCAACCTACAAGAAGTTTTTCTCAGCTGCCACTCGGGGTATTCTTGAAAACTTTCTCGGACCGGAGCCTCGGGAGCCTTGGACCTGGGCCCTCGCCGGCGTTCCCTGCGACTGCAGCGACTGCGAGCGTGTCAGCGCCTTTCTCCGCCACCACACAAAGATGTCTGAAGAGTACCCGATGAACAAGCCTCGGCGTACCCATGTCCAGCAGGTACTTGAGAAAGCAGGTGTGGGTTGTAGCATTCAAACCCGCCGCGACACGAGCCCCTATCCACTCGTGGTCACCAAGACCTCTCGGCCTCAGGGGGTGAAGTTGGAAGCATGGAAGAAACGACGAGATCAGGTCCTCGAGGAGTTTGATCAGATTCAACCACATCATCTCAAGAAACTTCTCGGTAAGGAGTATAAGACAATTGAGCAACTCCGCGCCGGTCAGAAGGATCAGGAAAACCTGTCTCAGGGACCTCAGACAAGAGAGAAGCGTGGAATCAACGATTGATCGACATCCAAGGTCGTTCTTTTTTTTCTCCTGTCCTTTTTTTGCTTGCGTTTATTATCATTTGTGCAAAGCTTGACGTTAATAGCTTGCCTAGTTGTGTAATGGCCAAAGGGGTTTGGTCACATGGGAAACCAAGTCTGACATTGGACCGATGTCCATATCCAGAATTCTTGGTGGGAATGCAATGCGGCGTTGGATGCACAAGTATTGGAAACACGGAGGAGCATACAATCCCATAACGTCTTTTCTGGCTACAGTCAGAGAAAGCAAACCGACATAAGACAGACACATGATGACCCCTTCACAAACTTTTCCTCGGAGTAACGTCTTCGTGGTTGATCCAAGTGGTTCAAGAGTTAGACATAACCAGGTACTAAGGCAGTTAATGGATAAGAATGTAAGGATTGTTGGCACAAGAGTTCACGTAGAGTTAAACGATGTTGAAAGGTTCACTTAGAGCTAGCATGAACAGCATGATGTATAAACTTTGGTTAATGTAGAACAACCAGTGAGTCTCATAAAAGGCTCCGACTTCTATCACCTTCAGGTCACTTGTTCCTTGGACATCAACCCAATTCAAAGGACTTTGTCAGTGGTCCAGTGGAAATATCTACACAGCGCCTAATGGACATTATTGGCTAGAGCTAAGCAACATTCAGTCTCCTCTGGAATTGTCTATGATATGAAGTCAAAAGAAACAACTTAATGATCTTTATGATCTATCAAGACAATGTCGATACTAAGACTAACGAGGATGCTGTCAGAGTCACTCGAGCGGAGTGTTCTGTACAACGTGAAAGATCTTGCGAAGCTTCTCCAATACACCGTGTCGTGGCTTATAGCCAAGATGTTTTCCCTTCCCCCGACCACCATCTGACATTACGAGATTTACAAACTCATCCGCCGTACTAACTTCTGACCTTCCGAGATTCTGAATCGTGGTCACTAACTTTCTGGCTGCCGTCATCTCCAGACTCTTGAGTCTATGAGTACCGCCGGTCGTGGCTGCTATGATCTTATTCGGAGTTGTAAGCAAGTTGAATGCCAATCTTCGCAACATCTCGTCAGATCACAAGTACTCTGGCGTACTAGAAATGTTTGAAACATGTCCCGCTTCGTCCAAAGGAGGTCCGGACTCTGCAGCTTGGCGGGCGAATTCGAATGTTACTAGGAGTCTTCGGTGAAGCGGGATCTCAAAGTCCATCAGGATCCCTTCTCCTTCCATCACAGAGAGGAAGATTGAGACTACCTGTTGTATTTCCGAGGAGTCAGCGCTGTGAGCAAATATCATTAGATCGATATTCGACAGTATAGTATTGTTTTGAAGTGCGGAAGAACCATAGACAACGGCGGCGAAGTCATTGTCGTCGAATAAGTCATACAGCTTTTGAGTGAGGTTCCTTTCGGCTCTTTCTAGACGATTTGTTGACGAGCCACGAGTGTCCCCCATACATATGTACTGGCGATCTATAAGAAGAGCCCATCCCAAGTATTCGATTCTGTCCAGCAAGCCTCTCACATTCTCCATGGTTGACTGAGGATTCCCATTCAAGATACGTAGGACAAAGACTGTCTTACCAGGCTCTATGAAACGGTCATGCGGGCAGTTTTGAAGAGGGAACCCATAGATATAGTAGACACGTTCTCGGTGGATTATATCTTGGATGTGGAGATTCAGCTGGTTGACTTTCTCCAAGTCTGCATCTGAGAGACGAATGTTGTGTTCAATACAATATCGCTGAACACTTGCGGGGACGTATATAAACATGCACGAGTTGATGTCAGTTCCGCCCAAAAGTATGAGGGTTGGTCGGTGTTCAACCTCCAACTGGATCGCGTTGGTGAGTTCCAGTCTTCCATCGATCATCCGGCCCATGATGTTCTTTCCATGGCTTTTGATCGAGGACCAAATCTTCAATGAATCAAAAGCTCTAGATCCAGCGAAAGGGCCAGTCTCTCCAAACGACCACTGCGCGTTGGGGATTGAGTCTGAGTCGGTCGACAGGGAGGCTTGGGTACTGTGCTCACGAAACAAGACCAAAGAGCACTCATAAGGAATTAGCATTGCTTGTTGCGGGTCAACCCTGATTGAATCTGCTTTTTCTATGCCTCGCAGCTTATGGTGATGTCTTTCTGAAAAGGCAAGTTGGCTACCGTGACAGGCGTCGACATGGAACCAGATATCTTTCTCTTGGAGGATCTGCGATAGACCACGTAAATCGTCGATCCTCAAGCAAGTTGGATCACCTGCATATGCAACACAGGCCATGATGGTATTCCCTTGGCCCTTTTACTGGCTGATGATGCGCCTTAAGGCTTCTGATCCATATGAAACTCGGCATCAACGAGAACGGGTACGATATTATTCTCTCCAAGAGACATCATGCTCATGGCTGAGCGTATTGAGTGATTATCTGCCATTTCTGGTACCAAGACACGGATCATGCTCGGCAGCACTGGAATACCATTCAAGCGTGATCCAGGGAAAGACTTTTCCCTCGCAGCCAAAAGCGCAACAAAATTTGAGAGACAGCCCCTAGGCGTGAAGCCTCCGCCGGCATCCATGGCTTTGGTGTAGGCTCCAAGTACAGGATAGCCAAGTGCCTCACGTAGCCAGTGTATGACTTCCATCTCCACAAAGGTTGCTTCTGGCGGACAAGTCTCTGGGTTTGCCATGTTTTGGTTCAGAAGTGGTATCAAAAGGGCTGCCCCAGCTGCAGCAGGGCACATAGTAACATCAGGAAATTCCAAAAAGTCTCGAGACCTCAAGTTAGTACTCTTCGCAATAATAGATCTAAATTCATGGATAATTTGTTCGTCTGTAAGGCCGGACTCTGGCATGGAGTCGAAGCTGACTTGGCGTGGCACAATGCTCTGGGCTTCTGCATGATCAGGTCTGTGGGTTCTAAAAAGGACGCCCCATCTAACGACCTCGTCAAAAAGTCGTTTAGTCCTGCCCTCGGCTTCATCTCTGGTGGTTCTGGAGTGTTCATTGAAATGTAGAGGGGAAGGGGTTTCCATGCTGGGCAAGTGAGGGGGGAAACGAAGTTGATAATAAAAAGTTTGAACAGGGAGGTTGAGTAGACCGCGGAAAGGTTGAATGGTATCCTGCAGTATTTTATACATGGTCTTTAGCTTCAGTCCGTAAGGGCAGTAGAGCGATCATTGACTATTGCAAACAAGTCAATGGTGAGACAAAAAGTATCTACACCTGCTTGAGGATCAACTTGAAGAGGCGTCATCTTCAACTGCCAACTTACACAACACACGCCAGACTGTGGAAGGAGTACGAGGTACCCCGTAACTCGGAAGATGGTCAACCCATTCCTTTTGCTTCCATGAACCATTGCTGTGTCCTACAGCCTAGGTTGACCTTGTACTAGGCTGGTGGCTTGTCAAAGTCGTGATGAGTCGCTATTGTGCTTGACTACGCACATGACCAGAAATAGCTAGAAAGGTCAGATTCCTATCTACTCTACCTCGTATGGAAGAGGAGAGGTAGTAATGGAATCTGCTGACTTTAAGTCTGTGGCACTTTCAGAATGTAATATATGCTTTGACATAAAATAGCTGACATGTCCTAGTTAGCCCCTCTGTGTTACCATCAATAAGAAAGATAGATCTCTTAGACATGCGGCAAGATCAGCTGGTGAACAATACTGTATGCTCGGATGGTCTCATGTCGGTGTGAATGGCAATGCAGTGTCTTCTATGACGGCGCTTAGACAGAAAAGCAAACAGATGATTAGCTCACAAACTTGTGGTCTTCACCTGAGACAACAAAAAACTATATTAGAACAAGCTTAAAGCCGTGTTTGTATCTTAAGCAGAAGTGCTTTATGATAAGTCAAGCCATGTACTCCGTACACCAGATACAGAGACAATATTGAATGGACAATATTAGGAGTCTTGATCGTCGGAACACGGCAGATAAAAACAACGACTAGGGAACCAAGAGCTTGCTCCGATTGGCGAATGGTATATTGTCTCTTCTCCCGACTAGGCTAGTTGCAGTAGGTATCGCAAATCATGCAGGGTTGATTCATATCTAAGCGCCTGGACCAAAAGTATCTAGGTTTGCAGGGTCTCTGCTTAATTAACTAAGTGCCACGCCGCAGCATTCATTTCATTCCTTCTGTTGGACGGCAGTTGGCTTCTGAATTTCACTCGCATTCTTCTTTCTTCCTTCTTCATGTTTCCTTTTCCATTTTCTTTTGAAGCGTTCGTTACCTAGACTTCAACTTCTGTCCGCCTGACAATACTGTGTAATCACATAAGGACAGGCTCCTTAACCGCTCTCTTTATCTGGATACAGGCTCATCACACTCACCATTCCTTCACTCATTTGCACAATCCAGTTGCTCGATCATTAAAATTCCCTCGCCGAATGCTTCAAAAGCGGCTTCTACAACTCAAATATCGCGTCCTACGAATCAAATGGCAAAACTATTATCTGAACTGACACCTTCATTCCCCCCGAGCTTCGTAGCGCCAAAACGATATCGATGGGCAGCGGGACTCGTTTTTGTCATCTTTTTGTTCTACTTCTTCTCAATTAATGGATTTCTATACCAGAAGCCGTTGAAATTCCATGGCTCGATAGAGGTCGATTGGTCACGCTTCGCTTACACCCAATATGTCACCAACAGCGACTATCTCTGTAACTCAGTCATGCTCTTTGAGTCCTTGCACCGTTTTTCCAGTCGTGCCGATCGAGTGATGATGTATCCTTCTCACATGTTCGAGGCAAATAACGGCAGTTCTGTGGATACTCAATTGCTCATCAAAGCTCGCGATGAATATCGAGTCAAGCTCGTTCCTATCACAGTTCAGCACAAGGACAATAAAGATGGTAAATGAATACTCTCATCACTTCGTTTAGGCACAATTCTTGTCCAGGAATCAGGCTAACTAGTGCCGCCTTTAGATACCTGGGCTGATTCATACACAAAGCTCCTCGCTTTTAATCAGACTCAATACAGTCGCGTGCTTTCTATCGATTCTGATTCCACGCTCTTACAAGAAATGGATGAACTGTTCCTTTCGCCCCCAGCACCAGTAGCCATGCCAAGGGCCTACTGGCTGTTTCCTGAGAAAGAGATCCTCTCATCTCAGGTGATACTTATTCAGCCTTCTGAAAAAGAATTTGCTCGGATTATGGCCAAGGTGGATTCTGCTTCTGAGAACGACTTCGATATGGAGATTGTGAACTACCTGTATCGCGAGAGTGCCCTTGTCCTCCCGCATCGCCCCTATGATCTGTTGACGGGCGAGTTCCGTGCAGACAATCACAAGAGGTATCTCGGCTCTGATACCGAGCCTTGGGATCCCGCCGCTGTCTATAACGAAGCCAAACTCGTCCATTTTTCCGACTGGCCGCTTCATAAGCCATGGATACAATCGGATGAGGAGCTTCGCCTCCAATCACAACCCAACTGCACGACCTTGGCAGATGGCGCAGAGGACTGCGCGGCAAGGATAATATGGAACTCTTTCTATACAGATTTCAAACGAAAGCGGAAGGTAAATATCCGTCTCGGCCGTCTTCTGCTTGGCTGGAAGCTAACAGAATATAGGAAATTTGCGGACTGGATGAGGTGATATTGTCCAAGGAAGAGTACGAGGAATGATCTCCCCTTCTTGCAAATGCAAGCTATTCATTATTAGAGCAATGATTTATGGGATCAAGATTGGGTGCCAAACAGAGGAGTACATATTGATTGCTGTTTAGGAGTGATTGGAGGGGATTGTCACCTGGTTCGTTATGGCATGTGCATTTGATGAGATACCTACGTTGTTTCGCGACGTATACGAGATGATTGGCATGAGCAAAGTATTTAGTGGCTATCAAGAGGAAACATCACACGGAAATAGACAATACCCCTCTTTCGATCAAGACAGTTGACAACTCCTTTTCAGCAGTTGGCCATATGACTACAATCCGTACATACGACAGACACATTACACATGCGTTTGAAAGATATGCACGAAAACCGGGCCAATCACGGGTCTTAAAGGCAGACCCACAGTTACCCGTTAGCTGACGTTGTGGCTGCGTTACCCTACATCCGTTTGTGTGCCTGTGACGCTTGGGGTTGTCTTTGGTGAGTACAAACATTGCAACAAATCAAGAATGACGGGTCAGGTGTAAGATAAAGTTCATATGTGAAGTTCGTACGGGAGCAATCTCCCAAGTCAGAGAGGTCTGCGACTTGGTAGTTGCGTGGGTGGCAGCTAGGTAGTGAATACTCAAAGTCGTAAGTTTCTTCGGCACCTTAATCTACACTCATCCACCTTTTGCTCGACCACTGAACTTTTAATCTCTTCATAGCCCTCTACGTTACCATTCTATGCTGTCCCTATACCCAGGGTTGACTCCTGTCGTTTGTTCCGCTAGAATGGTCATATGGTCTGCCAACGGCTTCATCAAACTCTCCCTATGAGCTGGAGTTACGGCCTTGATGTTCACATACGACCATACCTATCAGAGAACTCGGGATCCCGTCCGCTCTCCCATAGATAAGCTGATAAGGGGCGGATTAGTAGTTGGGTCGGTGACGACCAGCGAATCCCCGCTGTTGTATGTTTTGTCTTTTGCTGTTTCTGTAATTTTTTGCTGGAGACAAGGGAACAAGGTTAGATCGGTGGAGGGAGGGACGTTGGGAAGCAATGGTGGACTGAAACCACATATCCAAGTCATGAGTGGCTTGTAGAGACCAAGGTGGCTGCTCTGAAATGCAATTTCGCTATGTCTGATGTATGCGTAGGCAGGCAAATGGAGCCAGCTAATAGTGTAAACGCCTATTCGAGATGATCGAAGGACATCTACCAGGATGAAACTCGCACAAGTCCAACCGCTTGACTAATCTTCAGTCTGCTGTGAAAGCCTGGTCTTGAACTCGACTATCCTCGTGGTCGAGATCCCCGTTGCAAAAAGTCCAACTCCTTCTTCTCCTTACCAGCAACCTTCTTCCTCTTCCTCTCAATCGCTCTATCAACCTGTCCCTTACTCATACCCTCATATCTATTAACAAGCAGTTGCTTTTTCTGCTCGCTCTTCTTCAGGTAGAACGGCGTCTTGCCCTGCGCCACAAGCTCCTTCTCCTTCTGGCGATGCTCCTTCAGCAACCTCTCCTCTTCCTGTCTTCGCATGTTGGCCTTCTTGCGAGATTCCATGGATTGGAGTTGGCGCTTCAGATTGTCCTTCTCGTAGGAGTCTTTGGTCTTCTTGATCTGTGCGCGGAGATCGGCCATCTCCTTGTCGCGGTATTCGTCTAGGAAGGCGTAGGCTTTGCTGGCTTTTTCTTCGTCGACGCGGCCTACTAGAGGGTCGAAGCGAGGGTCGCGATATTGACGCCGGTTATCTGGGAGGATCTCACGGCGGCGAGATACGGGTTTCTTGGAGGTTTGTTCTTGCGGAGCGTGTTTGGAAGATCGTTTTGGCTTGGGGTCGTCCTTTGATTTGGTGGATTTTCTGGGCGCTGGTGTTTCTGTTTTTGAAGTTTCTTCATCGGTAGATTTCTTCGATTTTGATTTGCGACCAGCAGATGGCAGTGATGCTTGAGCTTTTGCGAGAGCTCCGAATGAGACCGATGAGAGGTCTATCTTTGGCGTGTCCTGCTCAGGCTTTTCTATGGTCAGCACTGTGTTTTCGAGGAGAGACCTAACGACCTTACCTCTGATTCATCTTCGGAACTTTCTTCAGATTCTTGATATTCATCTACCTCGCCGTCATCGTCATCGTCATCAGATGCGCCCCGAATACCCTCCTCCTCCACCTCATCATCATCATCGTCCTCACTTGAGGAACCTTGACTCTCTGGCTCTTCTACCCACTCATCCTCTCTCCTCGGTCGCACTCTTCTCTCCAGTCCAAATGAAGATGATGGTTTTCGCTTGAAAGTCATGTTGTGCTGTTGTATGCAATTGAATAACTGCTCTTCAATGTTTGATCATAGCGGCGCTGTGAACTTTTTTATTTTCCAGCTTTGATAAGCCCCACGAAGAAGTCTTATCGTAGC